ATTTCTCCAAAGCAGATCTTCCTGCTAAGCACTGCACGGGAAAATAATTTTACAAAACCCAGGCCTTGGTGGGATCACTAGCTATTATGCAAAACCCCTCTCTCTTAAGAATCTCAGGTTTAGGCTATCTGGGTTAGAAAGTAATTTTATGAACATGCCCCCTATACAATTTAGATCAGTGGTTCTCAACCTGTGGGTCGGGACCCCATTTGGGGTCGATCGACCATTTCCCCTTTTCCGGCGGGTGCCTTACCTCCCTTGGGCTGGGCCAGCTGGTGGTCGGCCTGCTCCGTCTCTGCCGCTTGCCAGCTACGCCTCGGCCGGCGCAGGGGGCGGAACCACACATGCGCGGCGCTCCCGGGCAGGGAAAGTCTTCGACTTACGACCGGTTGGGTAGTCCTTGACTTACGACCGGTTTAGTCCTCGACTTACGACCGGTTTAGTCCTCGACTTATGACTGGTTGGGGTCGCGGCATTAAAAAGGTTGAGAACCACTGATTTAGATAGCGTGTTTCTAGCAACAGCTTTTTCTTTTATTTAGAAATTTTATTTGCTGCCCATCTTGTATCCAACAACTCTGGGCCGCTTTTTAATGATGGGGCTCTTATAGCTTAATTATCCAGAGAATTGGATATAAATCACAGGACTGAACGTTTCTGCCATGAAATTGCCAGAAGGAATACAACCCCTTCAATTACTTTTTATTGATTTATCTTTATTCCGGCTTTATTATTTTTATAAATAACTCAAGGTGGTGGACATACCCAATACTCCTTTCCCCACAACCACCCTGTGAGATGGATTGGCTGAAACAGTGACTGGCTCAAGGTCACCCAGCTGGCTTTCATGCCTAAGGCGGGGCTAGAACTCACTATATCTCCTGTTCATTGGCCCAAAGTCACGCAGCCAGCTTTCATGACTAAGACAGAACTAGAACTCACAATCTCCTGGTTTCTAGGCCAACTATACCAAAATGGACTCACTATCTCCTGGTGATTGGCCCAAAGTCACCCAGCCAGCTTTCATGACTAAGACAGAACTAGAACTCACAATCTCCTGGTTTCTAGGCCAACTATACCAAAATGGCTCTACTGTATTAAATATTATTTCAAGGTAACCATCTACTGCTTTTATTTAAACCCAAATCTGTATGCAAGTAGCAAAACCGGATCACTGCAAAGTGCAACAGAAGCTTATGATTAAAAAAATCTTCAAATCACTTAAAAGGTCTTTAGCTAAGAGGTACAAAAGGTTTTCCTGTAATCACTCCATGTTCTGCTCCTGTGGTACAGACGCTACTCCCTCCGAGCCAGCTTCAAATCTAATTTACAAGTACATATTATTTGCACATGAGAGTTTATTTAATGACCCGTTTTTTCAAACTTGGGTAAGTTTTCCAACATGGATAGCACGGCTAGGGAATTTGGGGAGCTGAAGTCCGCACAACTTAAAAGTTTACAAGTTTGAAAAACACTATTAAACCAAATAGCTGAGGCACACCATATGGGAGAACATGCAAGCCAAAATACAGCATGTTTTGTTTCTTTTGAGTGATCTGGCTGAACTAAGGCAAAATCTACAATCTACAAGTTCTTCTTACATGATCGCTTCTTGGCAAAGACACATCTTTCCTAGCAGACCTGAGGAAAAACTTCCATTTCTGATGGTGTCCACAGGATCTTGTTGCTTTTGTTAAATGAATGCAACATCATAGCATAAACCAGACCCTGTGGCCACATCCAGCGGTCTGGCTCACTTGAGGTCTATTGGAAGTTGGAAAATAAAATATAAATAAGTGCACTACAGGAGGCGGGAGAAGAGTGCACTCCTTTAGAGCCATGGTGGTGCAGTGGTTAGAATGCAGTATTGCAGGCTAACCTGCCAACAGTTCGATTCTCACTGGCTCAAGATTGACTCAGCCTTCCATCCTTCCGAGATTGGTAAAATGAGGACCCAGATTGTTGACATTTGTAAACTGCTTAGAGAGGGCTGTAAAGCACTGTGCAGCGGTACATAAATCTAAGTGCTATTCCTATTTAGTCAGCAAGAGAACTTTTCAGCACCTGACAGAAAAGTGGCAGTTGGGCTGAGGTGAGACTCTGCATTCCTTTCTTCCCTCAACACATGGAAATTAGTTCAGTCTATTGGTTCAGCCCTCCACAACAGTCCCAGTTTCTCATGTGGTCCCTTAGGAAAATTAATTGCTTAACCCCGGTGTAAAGTCTGTCTCTTCTGGACCTAACTGGCATCTTACAATGCATTTAGAGCCTAAATACTCTAAAGCTACCTTCATCAATGTGACTCCCCTTGCCCTCCACATGGGCCACAATTGTTTTTTTCAAACTCCACTCCCAATACATACACACAAACACGAAATAAATGTCCTTTGTAACCATGTGAAATAATAAATACATCTAGGGCACTAGCTTTCTCAACTCATAACTATGAACATGCTCCGTTTCGTTCTTTTCATATATATTCAGAAGACACAAAAAAGGACAAGAGTATTTGCAAAACAAAAACAAAAACCCAACCTCTCACCACGTTTGTATTTACATCACATATAACAAATTGCACTAAATTGAAAACGCAGCATAAATTAAATGACTTTTATGGTGTCTACAGTTCAACAATGTAAGAATTTAACAATTATAAATCATGGTAGAAAGAAATAAATATAACAATTGTACCAGCATTCTCATCACTATTACCAAAAAGAAAAGAAAGAAACACACAGTAGTATCCCATAGTTAATACTGATGGGCAAAACCTATTTTGGAGATCAATGTTGTAATTTACAAATAACTACAAATAAGCAGCATCTTTTCCTTTTGACCTGGTTGGTATCCCATCTCTGCCCAGAAAAGTTTAGTGGACTATGCTTAAGGACTCTTTTGCAATATCCCATCAGCAGCTTTCCTCCATCTGGACATCCCCCAGATGTATAGATGAGCTCAAAGAATGACCAAGCCACCGTGGGATTCTGTTGCGTATGTGAAGAGCTGAAGTCCACACAATATGCAGAAGTTGCTGCAAATGTAACATCAGAAGTGTGAAGGGAAGTAGTATTATTCCCTCCTGCAACCCAATCCAACTCCAATATAGAATAGAACAAGAGTCAGCCAGGGCTTTTCATAGGGACTTACAGTAGGACAGGAAAAAGCTTGTGCTGCAGTAATTCCTGTGCTTAAAAGGGAAACGGGACTGGGAACCCTGACTGGGAAAACTTAAGGCCTCTGTTCTTAATTTTGTCTTCAATTGAGAAGGGTGCTTATAAGCTTCTAGAAGACTGCACCAACAAAAAGCAAGAGATGCTTTTAAAAACTGTAATTAAATACAGTCCTGGTCTTTTTTTTAAATTATCATTTTATTAAGCTCCATTACTTAAAAACAGAGAATGGGGGGAAAAAAGAGACAAGACTCATGGAAGCTTCAGGCAAAAATAGATCAGCCATCTTTCAAATGTATTCATCTTCAAAAATAGGCTATAAAAGTGCAAAACTAGGAAAACAAATCTAGATTTTATGTACATATGGCTCAGCTTATGAACAGGAAAAGGGTAAATTTTGTACAATTTCCTGATACACAGCACTTTCATTCCATTGCCAGTTTTACAGAGATAAATTTTTTCACACACAGGAAGTCAGAAAATTAAAACGCTTCCAAAGTTGCTTGCTGGGTGTGAAGAAAACTTCCAAGAATGTCTACCTAGCTTCTGCAAATTTACATCTGATAGGAAACACATTCAAACAGTGCAAAAAATATTTCTGAAACCATTTTTGTTCTGGAAACATGGGTATGTCAAACAGAAAATAACATTTAAGCTGTTGTTAAGGGTTTTACAAAATACTTGGAACATCCAGCTTCAACATGTACAATTCAATTTTTCAGCCAGCAAACAATTCTCCTATTCAATTTTCAGTCCTGTGCAGTTTGAAACAAACAAAACCCTCTAGGATTTTAAAACAAAACAAGAAGCAATCTTTCCTTGTTAAATTTGTCACTCAACTTTGGGCTAAACAACTTACAAGGTGTATACAGACAAAAATTACCTCACAAGAACCCTTATACACACAATTTTGGTTTTGATAAATAATGCTGGACATATGCCCTGAATTTTCAAATGGGACCCAAGTAGTACTTGTAGCTATATGGAGAAGTGTGACTGCAGAATCTCTATAAGGGAACACGAGCATCCAATTCAAGGCAACTCCTGTGTGCATCACAATGTAACTAAAATTTTATCCTGATCCAAAGCAAACAGTCTTTGAGAGGGGGACAAGTTGTATGAGCAACCTGTGGGAATCTTCCATCTATGAAGTCATGTGAGGAAGGCAGATTGAACCTTCAGTTTGTCAAGTAAGTATGCAAGAGTTGGTATAGTTGGCATTGGTGTTTGAGAGGAATCTTATGTTCCCTCTTAGACATATGTACACAATTTATTTACATCTATACATTTTTGCAAAATGATGCATGTGTAGAGGTGAAAATGGCATTTAAGAAAAGAAAAGGGGTAAACTGAAATACCCAATTCTGGGAGTTGACGTCTACAAATCTTAAAGTTGTCAAGGTTGGAGACCTCTGCCCTACACTATCCAAGAGTGCAATCAATTAATTTCATTCTCTTATGGAAGAGATGTTAAAAGAAAAATAAAACAAGACTCAGTTGGAGAAAGTATGATGTCTCCAAAGATAATATGGTCTTGTTTGGTGCTAAATGTTCCTGATATAATCTGAGAGGCAATAATGGTGCTTAAAATGAACATAAGTAATACATAAAGGGGTTTTGTTTCAAAAAATATTTTTTAAAGAAAAGAAAACTTGAAAATATTTAGGCAAAAATCCTCTCTGTATTTCAATGAGGGAAACAGAATGTACAGCTTTACCTGAGATGCAAGGACTGCACACAACATCAGCAGCACTCACATATGCAAAAATATATTTAAGTTGAATATTTGGTCTACAGTATTTCTAAGAAAAAAAATATTATTCAAGATTGGGAAAAGATACACACACTTGGACAACACTGTCTTGGACAATAACGTTTACATTGCTTCATCCAAACAGGATCAAATCTTCCATTACACAACTGTAGTGTTTTTCCTCTGTGCACAATAAAATCACAGCTTAGTTTGGTAGCTTTTGTCATTCTATCATTCTCAAGAGATGAACTGTAAGGTAATTCAAAATCTGTGTCTTCATACCTGGAATAGAGGAAAAATGGTTCTTTTCAAACGACTCACAACAGATCCAAAAAAACAGTATTTTTAGCATCGTTTCTATATTTTGTAAAGGCACTGATCTTTCTAAAGATTTACTACAAAATGCAGGAAATATGGTATTGAGGTTTAGGTAAAAGCATGATTCTTTGGGGTCAGATTTCATTTTATGTAATTTAAAGTTGCAATGGAAACTGGCTTGTGGAAACTGTGATGTGTCTGTTGTAAAGTAACAGCATTTTCCAGCAGTACCTGCTGGGGCCCTGAAATTAAGTCTAAGTTCTAATTACAAACCTTAACCTCAGAGCCATCTTAGGAAGAAATATCATTACTTTATGGCAGTGGTTCTCAACCTGTGGGTCGGGACCCCATTTGGGGTCGATCGACCATTTCATGGGGGTCACCAAGCAATGCTGTCCGCCATTTTTTTTGTCCGCCATTTTTTTTCCCCTTTTCCAGTGGGTGCCTTACCTCCCTTGGGCTGGGCCAGCTGGTGGTCGGCCTGCTCCATCTTGGAGCAGGCCGACCACCAGCTTGCCAGCTACGCCTCGGCCGGCGCAGGGGGCGGAACCACGCATGCGCGGCGCTCCTGGGCAGGGAAAGTCCTCGACTTACGACCGGTTGGGTAGTCCTTGACTTACGACCGGTTTAGTCCTCGACTTACGACCGGTTTAGTCCTCGACTTACGACCGGTTGGGGTCGCGGCATTAAAAAGGTTGAGAACCACTGCTTTATGGTGAAACGGAAGACATGAACCACACATACTCTGGAAACTTAAATGCGTAATATTTTTGGGAAGCAAAAAAATAATCCAATTTTCAGTTCATATCATCACATCACCATTATGTGGTACAGGGTGTATATGTAGAGGTGTTGTTTTATTCCTAGCATTGTTTTAACTATTGATTGGGAGCTGTCCTGAGTTTGATATCAGATGGGCAGCCATATAAAAGTTTTAAATAAATAAATCAGCATCATTGCTCTTTCTTTTTCTATATTTATTTGTTAAGAGTTATATCTTGCCTTTAGAGGATTATACCACAATCAAACGCTGTTTGAGACATTAAAACAATTTTTGCCAGGATTTATCAAAATGCTGTCCTGTAGTTTGGAAAAAGCAAACCACTGAAGGTAGGGCCAAATGACAGGTCTCATCACTGGAAAATCTAAGCCTGAAACTAGTCTGTCTCAAAGAATCCAGCAATAGCTTTCTATGGTTCACAGCAGTATTTGTATGCCAAACTGTGTTTTCTACAAATTTGCTTATCCTCAAAAGATAGCAATCACATTGGCTCAGAATAACGCTTTGATTTCCTGAGCATCCCTATGACTTTTTTGGCTATTTGGCAGCAGAACCACAAACTTGGAAGAAAATATTTTAGCTAAATGCTCTTAAGGCTGCTCTTTCAGTGAAGCAAACTAGATCTGAACAGAAGCCTAATTTAGATTCTGCGTTTTTCTCCCAGTAAGATATACTGGGAGATGAACAATCCTCTCAGGAGCTATAGCAAGCATTAGACCAGGGGTCCTCAACCTTGGCAACTTTAAGACTTGTGGACTTCAACTCCCAGAATTCCTCAGCCAGCTTTGCTGGCTGAGGAATTCTGGGAGTTGAAGTCCACAAGTCTTAAAGTTGTCAAGGTTGAGGACCCCTGCATTAGACAGTGATGGATACTGGGAATTGTAGTTCGGCAACATTTAGTGGGTTAGATTTCCCAGTCCTCCATTAAAATTCCTATACGATAGAAAGTGAAATGCATAATATTTTTCTGGACAGGTTCTTTTTATTTGTAAGTAAAGCTTATTTTAATAGTTTGAGAACTGCTTAACATATGTTAACCTCTAACATTTTCCAAACAGGAGATGGAAGAAATTGTGTCCCCGTAATTCAATCGTGAAAACCTTAAGATATTTCAAAGATCACTACCAAACTCTAATTTTTAAAATGCCAGTATGGGAAATGTGTTAAATGTATGATATCATTAACTGCGTTTAATTAATATTTCATTAACTTTAAGTAAAATCAACTTTAATTTTGTCTTGGCTCACCCGTACTTTGGAATACAGTTTTAGAACACTACTTTGAATCCAGGGGTAAATTACACACACTTTAAAGCAGGGGTAGTCAACCTTGGCTCTTTTATGACTCGTGGACTTCAACTCCCAGAATTCCTGAGCCAGCTGTGCTGGCTCAGGAATTCTGGGAGTTGAAGTCCACGAGTCATAAAAGAGCCAAGGTTGACTACCCCTGCTTTAAACTAAACCTTTAATTTTCCAGATGTTTAGGGACATGATAGTTAAGAGAATTGGAACCTGTAGTCTTGACACATCCACAGAGCACTGCGTTAAAGAAAATTCCTCTACATTAAAGAGGGGGAACCTGATACCCTCCAAGTGCTACTGGACCATAACTCCCAGAGAACCCAGTCAACATGGCTATGGTAAAAGATGAGGGGTGCTGAAATTCAGCAAGACATAGGGACCCCACAGGTCTTTCAAATTAGCACTGGAAATCTAAAATATGTATATTTATGCATCAAATGTACCTTACCATCTGTTGCAGCCAAATCATGTTTTTTTATCATTCAGGCGGTTATGGGTATTGCCAATAAAGTTCTCATAACTTCGCTTTTGCAGCAAGGAATTAGATAGGTGTTGATATGACACTGGTCTTTTTCCTAGTAACAAACATTACAATATATTAACAAAGGAACACGAATTAAGACAGGACTATTAAGTGCATGATCCCTATAAACGTGTCTTATGTATTTCTCTCAGCCATCGAAATAAGCTATGCCTCCTCATAAAACTTGAAAGTATAAAACTGTAACATATTCATGAGTTCCCCCCTCCCATTTTCAAGAATGATAGTGAAACCTAGGTATCTTTGCATTACACAGCTGATTAAGCATTATCATTTAACTGAAATATCAATAAAACCTTCCAGTAGCTGTTGTTTCTATTATCTTTCATAATCATAATAACTTTTCATCCCAATACAGCGTTTATTATATTAAAACTCGGGAGGCATTCGGAGAGAATTAACATAGAAGCTATTGTAAATATTTAGGCTGCCTAAACATTAAGCTAAGGGAATCACATTCGGACTGTCCTTCATCCCTATTATTGGTTAATGATTCTCCCAAGCCAAAACTGAAGGGGCAACAACAGGTGCATCTTCCTAGAATCTTCTCATAGGCATTGGCACGTTCACCATAAACCAGGGGTCCCCAACCCTTGGTCCATGGACCGGCACCAGGCCGCAGCATGCCAGAAACCAGGCCACATAAACAAGCAACGCCCCATCCGCAAGATGCAGGCAGCACACGAAACCACGCCCCCCTCTGGTCCGTGGAAAAACCTCTCTCCGTGGAACCAGTCCCTGGTGCCCAAAAGGTTGGAGGCCTCTGCCATAAACCACCAAACAAGAACGGCAAGAATTTACGCTTTAACTCAGATCCTATCAGATTCTTAAAAACAGATGAACCATACACTCAGTATCCAGAGGATACGATCTGAATCCTTTTAATCAAAAATCTTCACACAAATTCTTTGACATTGCAGAGCGTGTCATGTCAATGAACACTGGTTTCCTCAAATCCCCTTTTGCACTTACAGATTCACTAAGTTTGAAGTCCAATCTGTAATCAGTTACAAAATCAGTTAACATTAACTTACATGGAATCAGACTGTACTTTATGTACATGTTTTAGAACTCCACTAATACAGGCAAGCTAAATTTAAGAGCAATCGTTTTTTTTAAACTGTTACGTTGTATTTTTGTGGGTAATGTTTTTGGAGGGGGAAAGGAGTTACTTGTACCCGCTTATCCTCCTACAAACCCAATAAATAAATAAATAAATTTTCTACCCTCTCATCTCAGTTTAGCTTGAATGAGAAGATGTATCAAAACTCAGCAATTCTGCATTATTTTACTTTCTCTGTGGACAGCACCTAATAAACATAGCACCTATCTGGATTTAGGACTAAGCTGCCAATCTCAAGAATATTTAGATGAAAGATCACTGGGAATTGTTACAGAATAGATTGGGAAGTTGGAAAAAAAACTTTTCAAGGAAAATGACAAATTAAATTTTGCCTCACAGCCCATATCGAATATGAAAAGTCATAATCACATGTGGTAGGGTGTACCGCCAGAGTCACCCAGGGACCTCAGGTATTTCATCAGACCTCGCCCTCAGGTCCTTGAACCCCACCAACATTTGCAACCGAACTGCAAGTTTTAATGGGACAGAAGAGCTGATTGTGAAGTAAACAAGAAGCAATCATATTAAATATATCTAAAATTTGAATAAAGAAGAAATCAAATGTAATTTAACCTACACTCAAGGGCCCAGGGCAGCCCTCAAACAAAATGTTGAGCAACCCTATTCCTGGGATTACTGCGTTGTAAATAAAAATAACAGAGAGAAGGTCATACCTCAATTAAAAATTCCCACAGTGGGACAAGATAAGGACTACATCAGATGTTTAATGCCTTGGCTGTTCAAGGTCTCTGCCCAAATCCCTGGACAGACAACTATCACCCAATGTGGTGGAAATTAAAAATCTCAGTGTCTAACTTGGTATCAGGCAGCTATCTAGATATGAAAACCAAGGATGAAGCAAATACTAGTTTGGAGGCTATCCTAAAAATACAGGTAGTCCTTGACTTACGACCCAATTGAGCCCAACATTTCCGTTGCTGAGACATGTGTTAAGTGAGCTTTGCCTTATTTTACAACTTTTTTGCCACAGTTGTTAAGTGAATCACTGTAGTTGTTAAATTAATTACACAGCTGGCTGGCTCAGGAATTCTGGCAGTTGAAGTCCACAAGTCATAAAAGAGCCAAGGTTCCCCACCCCTGACCTAGCTTATCAGAAGGTTGCAAAAGGTGACCACATGACCCTGGGACACTGCAACCGTCATAAATATGAGTCAGTTGCCAAACATCTGAATTTTTACTGTGTGGCTATGGTGATGTTGTAAGGATTGTGAGGAAAACCGGTCGTAAGTCACTTTTTTAGTGATGTGTAACTTCCATCGGTTACTAAACTGTTTTAAGTCAAGGACTACCTGTACATCAAGGGTTGGATGGAATTCTGGTTTGATCTCCCAACTTCACTCGCAAGTATTCTCTGTTTTAAAGAATGTTTTGTTTTGCCATCTTTCATTGCCGAAAGCTAAGAAACTATATACCTTCTTTTGAAGAGCTGGGGACGTGGTTGCTACCCGATCCACAGGAACTGGCAAATGAACCCGGGTTATACGTTTCGTATGGTTTTAGAACCGTCACTGGATTTACAGCATCTCTTTCAGAGCTCATGAGCCCTTGTTTGAAAGGCAGGAGAGAGGCAAGCTTGGTGTGTGAACATTCCTGAGGGAGCAGACCTGAATATTTGCCTGAAAGAGGTAATCTAGCAGTTTCACTCTCTGTCCGATGTCGAGCAGAGTCGATCTGTTCCAGGGCAAAGATATTAGGCCTAAATCTTTTAGAAGGCAGTCCATCAAATCCCACATATCTATTCCCAGCAGATCTGTTACTGAAAAACTCTACTTCTCGACTAGTTGACCCAGCAGCTTTGGTCAAAGGGTTCTCCAAAGAGCTGTTGGTGCTGCTATTCCCTGTTCCTAAATGAGAAGCCAACAGCCTTGATTTCCCTTTATCTTGCGCTGAAGTGCGACTAGGGCTCTGGTGCATTTCCTGCTGTTGTCTACGGTTATTAATCTGAATGCCAATCATTTGGGATTTGCCCGATTTCAAGTTGTTTGGTGCCGTGCTGCTGGAGTTTTGTCCTGAGAGAATAGGCCCTTTGCTCTGTGGGGCGGGACACTGCCTCGCCTTCTCCACAGGCTGAGATTTTGATTGCGTGAGGAAGGAAGATTTGATTTTCCCAAAATTAAGAGGCAGCGGTAGCACATCCTTGCCCAAAAGACAGGGTGGGCAGCCTGTACGTCTGGCTTTATGAGCGGCCTTATTTCTAATACTACTTTTAGTAACTGCATTGAGATTATTAGCAGACTTATGCATCAACCGTTGATGCATGATGAGAACTTCTGGGTATAACGTCCGGAAAGTACAAAAGGGACAGGTGCTGGTTGCTAAGGAACACCGTGAATGAAGAATTACTGGAGCATCCTGAGAAGAGGCGGTAGATAAATTTAAGGGCTTTTCTTGAACTGTTAATCTGCATTTTGAGTTTTCAGTAATGTCACTTAAATCCGCCTTCGTTCTGCCAGCATAAAACACATTTTTTGTTAACTCAGAGTTCTTCTTTTCAGTTCTGTTCACGAGACTGTTTGCCTGATGCTCCACTGTGTTTTTTTCACGTTTTAAAACTGAAACAGATGCGCCCTCTTTCAAGCCATCACAGACGGAGTTTTTGCTTGTGTCCTGAGTTATATTTTTTGGCGCATTGTAAAAAAGGTAAAACTCCTCTTTCTGTTGTTTTGCAGGTGGGAAGACTCCTTTGGCATCTTTGGCGTCTTCAAGGAGCCTTTTCAGATTTTTGGTTTCTGGAGCATGACCGCTTCCTGACAAGAAGCCTGCCTCCTGGGAAGGCAATAACCCTTTACTGTCATTTTTCAAATCTGCTGAAGCTTCTGTATGTTTGTCCTTGTGATGCCTCTCTAAATGATAGCGCAAAGAGGTTTTCTGCGCTGCTGCATATTCACAAAATTCACATTTGTATGGTTTTTCTCCTGCAAAAATAATGAGCCAAAAGTCAGAAAACTGCCACTTCCTTCTTTTAATTCACCAGAGAACAGAAATAAATGCTATGCTTTTTCTTTACTGCTACTAAACATCTTAGAACAACAAATATTTTGCCAGAATAATGGTTTCATTAATTGCACTTAGGAATTGGGCTTTGATTTCATTTTTAGATATTAAAAGGGATGGTTTGCTTAGCCCAGAGAGAGAGAAAAAAAAGTAAGGACATGTAATATTGCATGTGGTGCCTAAAACCTTTAATTCTTCTTCTGTCTTTATACGCATGTAGGACTCATTTGTTAGCCTGCCTGAGGCTTTTTCCAACACTGTACTGCAAATCCTTAATATTTACCTTGCTCGGTCTCCTGGAGATACAAGGCATGTTTGAAGACCTTCAGGCCTCCCAATTGCTAATCACAGCAATTTGTAGAGTAATTCGAATTCTTAGACTTATTTTACTCCAGAAGCTAAAGTTGGCATGAACAGTACTCACTCTTTCCTCCACTTCCCCCCAAATCATCCAACCAGTAAGACAGGTTTGATTGAAACAAACAAAAAGATTGACGGGTGGGTGGGGGGAATTGAGAAATATGCCAATATTCTTGGTATCAGAAGTAATGGAAGTCTTTCCTCCCACCACCGATTACAATCCTAACAAATGCAGATCAACTGTGGGCTATAAAGTGAGATTAGCAAATAGCAGGAACCTTAATATTGCTCTTTTAAAATCTCTGCTAAAAAGCTAACTCTTGTATTTAAAAAAAAATCCCTTGATAGCCAAGAGCTTTTCCAGATTTTTAAAGAGATGACTCACAATTTTGGGATTTATAGCAGGATAGGAAGGAGACAACAGCCAACCATTTTTGTAACATTATCCAGAAATCTACATGGAAAGTAGTCTGATCTCAATAACTCTAGGAAAGTTTTATTTATTTATTTAGCTTTTTTTACCCACTCCCTTGGTTTGGTGGTCTCTACCGTCAAGGAAAATTTACCCTATTTTATCAGCATGCAACAAACTATTTTTCCAATGAATATCAAAATTGAATCATGTTTGCCTTTTACTTTAGTGAAAATGCTCTCCTTTTGATTCTTCACCAAAAGCATAATCCAGTTTTCTTTACCTGTATGAGTTCTGAGATGAATATTGAGGTAATAGTTTGAACGAAAAAACTTTCCACAGTAGCTGCATTCTCTAGTAGCTCCGAGGTTTTTTACTTTTGATCTTTCCAACCCGTCTTCATTTTTATCTTTAGATTGGGAAAAAATAAAAATAAAAGAAAAGTAAGAAACACAATTCTGGACACTGTAAAAAACAGACATATTGAGTAGTAATTGGGCAACCTCTGTAATAATTTGTTCATTCGTAGATACCTTTTCTGAAAATATACTTTTGTTTTAAATAAAGGATTATAATAATAAGATAAAAATAGTAAGTAAACAAGCAGAGTACTGTTAATGTACTTCCTAAAAGAGGGAAATGAACATGTATCTCTATTTATATCTGTATATCCGTATGCTGCAAAATTGTTAAATAAAAAAAAATGGGAAAAAATAAGACATAACAGGATTTGGCTTATTTTGCAAAGATATCTGCCAAGAATACAATACTCCTGATCTTCCAGAAAGATTTTACTCTAATATTTTTGGGGCCTACAGAGTTTGGAATTGACATCTGAGGGAGGGGAGGGAGGGAGGGGAAGGAAGGAAGGAACATTCTTTCTTTCTCAAATACATGATTTTATCAATATCTCATTCATATTACTCACACTTGCTCAGTGTATTTTGTACATCTAATCCACCATCTTCCTGCAAGCCTTTGAGAGCTGAATGCAACGAAATTTCATTTTAATGTATGCTGATTACTGTACATTTAAAGTGACAAAGTTATTCTATTCCCATTCCCATTCCATTCCATTCTCAATTCAATGCTATCACACAAAAATATTCCATCAAGGAACAGATTTTAATTATGGCAGTGAGATATAATTGTGTGTAAAAGTTTTAGTTATTCCTGGTCAAACTGTTTCAATGGATTGCAGGAAGAGCGTAAAATGGCATAGCCTCTACAAGATGTTACTCAACATAATATTCTTCTTGAAACACATATGCTAATAATACAGTGGTTTACAGATTTTTTTTAAAAAAATTATGAATATGTTGTGCAAAAGTTTGAAAACTCTGTCATTACTTTGTAACACCATTTTTGCTAGAAATAGCAGCTTCCAAATCTTTCCTCTGGCCAGCTAATAACCTTTCTATTCCTCTTTTTGGATGTTTTCCCCACTCTTCCTTTTAAAGTTGTTCTAGGTCAAAAATATTCTTAGGTCTCTTTTGCATACACTGCATCTTAAAGACGATCATACAAGTCCGCAGTACTGGTAATCCTCGACTTATAGTAGTTCGTTTAGTGACTGCTCAATGTTATAATGGCACTGAAAAAAGTGAGCTATAACTGTTTTTCACACTTATGACCATTGCTACATCCCCATGGTCATGTGACCAAAATTCAGACGCTTGGCAACTGACTCCTATTTATGACGGCTGCAGTGTTCCAGGGTCATGTGATCCCCCTTTTGTGACCTTCTGACAAGTCAGTGGGGAAGCCAGATTCACTTAACAACCGTGTCATTCACATCTGCAGTGATTCACTTAACTGCAGCAAGAAAAGTCGTAAAATAAGTCAAAATTCACTTAACAAATGTTTTACTTAGCAACAGAAATTTTGGGCTCAATTGTGGTCATAAGTCGAGGAATACCTATAATATCTGGTCCTTGTGAAGTAGTTTTGAGTTAACGGACGGACTGCCACAAAAAGCAGAAAGACTATTCCCATGCCTTTCCTTCAGTTCTTTGTCTTTGATATTCATTAAGTATTTATTAATTTCCCCCCAATACATCAATTGTTTTTTCTATGTTAAAACTACAGAGCTAAAATTTCAAAGTAAAATTTAATTTTACTATGGAATGATTTTTTTTCTTTTTAAAAAATTATTTCCACCTGAAATGTTTTAAACTATCTCATCTGTTATTTTAAACCTGTTTAAGTAGTACAACAACCATTTTAGATGGGAAATGCCCTCTAGGCAGCAAAAAAGACATTGGTGGACTGAGAGATTTTCACCCCTACATACAGCACCATTACATTTAAAACAATTGGGGCATTAAAAAAAACGACATCTGGGCACAAGAGACAGAAATATTTTTTTGCAAGTTCTTTTTCTCACATGGACGCACAAGTACACAACATCTTAGAAAGTATGCAGAGGCATTTGGCACGCAGACTGCAGAAACAACTCACAAAAGTACAGCCTTCTATGCAACTACTAAGTAGTCAGTGGATCACTTTTTCAGGTTGCATAAAGGCCCCTCCCAGCGAACACAATTTGGGAGTTTACACTCTGTAGGATTTAATCTGAAAAGCAGATAACAGGATAACAACAGATAACATTATGTATTAGGAAGAATTTTAAGTGGGTGGGAAACATGGGCAGAGAGTAGGCTTGTGTAACACTTAGCTGTAATTCCAAGTGGGAAATTTAAGCTTCCAAGAGCCATTCTTCAAGCTGAAGCAAGCAGTCGTTTTTAAAAACCATGCTGCAGCCACGTTTTCATTCATTAGAAAACTTCATTGTAAAATATATGTTTAGTTTTTTATAATTGGCAACCTCGTATCTTACTGCCTTATTTATAATTGGCAACTTCACATCTTACTGCCTTATGTAAATCCTGCATTATTTAAAAGAGAATTAATGCTACTTAATTTTAGGAAAGAATCCTTCTAAATTAGAATCCTATCAGATTCTACTGGATTCTACTGGAGACAAGTATTTATTTCTTCAGTTACTACATTTTTATTTATCTTATAGTATTTGTGCAGTATTTTATAGTGTGAGCTGCCCAAATCTCAATACAAAATCACCAAATCATCAAATTTATGAAAGGTGAAATATTTTGCCCAATCTAATTTGCGTGCAGCACTCAAGGTTTATCACTAGAGGGCAGTAGACACCGTATTATGTTCATTTAAGATTGTTTCCAGCTGTAACTGCATTGAAGTGGTGAGCGCAAACCTGATACTGGTTGTTTTATATAAAAAGGACCTATGTAGCTATCTCAAAATTTCTGCCAATTTCTCCAAAGCACAAAGCAAGAGTACAGGTAGTCCTCAATTTACAACCATTTATTTAGTGATCATTTGAAGTTATAATGATGCTGAAAAAAATAACTTTATGATCATTTTTCACACTTATAACCACTGCAGCATCCCGTAGTCACGTGAACAAAATTTGGAAAACTGGCAACTAGCATGGATTTAAACCGGTTGCAGTGTCCTGGGGTCATGTTATCACCTTTTGCAACCTTCTGACAGCAAAGTCAATGGGGGAGCCAGATTCACTTAACAACTGTTACCAACTTAACAAATGTGGCAAGAAAGATCGTAAAATGGGGCAAAATTTACTTAACAAATGTCTCAATTAGCAACAGAAATTTTGGGCTCAATTGTGGTCGTAAGTTGAGAATTACCAGTATCTTTAGTTGAGTAAACTCAGCTGTGGTGAAATTTTTTTTAAAATGTCTAACATTAAAGGAATGAAAATATCCATCTGTCCAATCCTCCATTACACTATATTTTTATACAATTCTACACACCAATGTCATAATATGTATATGAAATATGCTATGCATTTTAAGATTATGCAAGCGTCTTTTCCTTTGGTGTAGATGCAAATTATGCCATGACTTAAAAATAGCGTATGATAATGCTGTGATAATATTCCTTGGAAAGCATCAACAAAACCGTCTCTCCCCTCCACATTACCTTTAATACGGACACCGTATTAAGAACTAAATGAAGAAACTACATTTTTATTGTGAACGGTTCCTAAACGGTCTTACCTGAAGTCTCTATTATCCCATCCTCAGAGCCATCTTCAGACACCCCCTCCAGTCGTTCGGCTCCGTTCTCATCCAGGGTCCCAGGGTGAGGAAGGCATGTCCTCAGCTGCTTCCCTTCCTCACAGCCGCTCTCTATATCATTCTTCCGTTCTTTCTTATGGACTCTGGAGTGAAGGACGAGTTGGTGGTAAGTTCGAAAGGCTTTGTTACACTCTGAACAATGGGTAGGCTTGCCTTTGTTCTGGGACATATGCAATGAAGGCACTTTGCGGCAAGGATATTTGAATTTGTCTTGTGGCATGTTACCAATCCCTGTGTAACTTCCACCTCTGCTTCCCTTGGTCTTCCCAGTGCTTTCAGTCTGGTTTGCTTTGCTCGCGTTCCAAATCTCCCCAAGTTCTTCTTTATCCGAAGATGAGTCATCATTGTCTGTGCTTCCCTCTTGGCCAGCATCTTTTGTTTGCCCGTGGCCAATAGCAATTTTACCTTTAGTAGCCAGCTGCCATGCCTGATAGGTACTGAACGGATCCAACTCAGCAATCCATTTCACGGGCTTTTTCTGTTTGTTGTTATTAGGAGGTGAAAGTGGCTTTAGGTTTAAAAATTGCAGAAATTCTTCTCTGGGTGTCCTACTTTCTTTACCATCCCCTTCTGATGGAGAGCCATTACTGTTGGCTAGAGAATCTTTGGTATGTACTTTGCTGTGCTCAATTAAGCTTTCCTTATTGTGAAATAGAAAGCCACACACCATGCAGATTTTATAAGGGGATGTTACACTTTCTGTCACTTGGTCCTGAACAACCTCATTTATCATTACCGGACTCTCAGATCCTTGCAGTGCCTTGCTGCGAGAGCCAGGTTTCCCAGTGTGAGTCCTCATGTGATTTTTGAGGAACCAGGGCTCCTTAAATCTCCTTCCACATACATTGCACCAGTAAGTGAAAGAATCCTTATGCTTCCTCATGTGGGCCTCAACATCAAAAGCCTCATCAAATGTTTGCCCACAAACCACACAGCTGAAGTCTTGGCTATCCTTTTCATTTACGTCCAGTGATGGCAAATCAATCCTCCCTTGTCCTTTATCAAGATGGCTAACATACTCCGCTTCCACACGCAAAACTGCTGGTTCACAAAGTGTCGGCCTATGCTGCGTTAAGACATGCTTACCGAGATCTTCTGAATGCTTGAAAGTCTGTTCACAAAACATGCAGTCTAAAGATACACATCCTTCACTTTGCATTAAGAACTTGTCTTGCAAGTTCTTATAGGAGATTGTGTTGGCTCCTTTTACTGGCATAGTGGCATCATTATTGTCCATTCGTGAACCAACAGTACTGGCTATACCTTCTGGACCATCCATGTACACCAAAAGAGGCTGAGTTGGCATATTTCCTTTGGCAGTTTTAACAAGAAGTGTCAAGCTGTTTTTATGCAAGAAATAGGCCCACTTCAGAAATTCCCCAGTTGTTTAGTAGCAGATGTTTGAGCCCTGATGACTCCTTCAAGGGAGGGTTATTGGATATTCTGCTCATCTGTAGATGTAGCTAACCCTCTGCCAGAAAGAAATAATTTCATAAAAAATGTTACTAGCTCTTGTATGAAAGAGGTGGAATTGCTTATGTTGTTCTGCAGTTTATGTAACTTGGCTTTCAGCAAAACCGGTCTGTTCACATCTCTGAATTTAATGCTTTGAGCTTTTTCTTCTTCTTCTTCTTAAGCTTGAAGAAAATTGCTGTAGCTCAGAATCACCAAGAATGTCACCACCTATGCGAAGAGAATTTGAAAACAAATTAATGTTAATTTAGGAATCAAAATAAATCAATACAATAGTTTGAATCCAAACACTATATACTTTTATGATATCAAGCGTTCTTTCTTCAACACAATGCTTTATATAGTGCAATGAAGTCAGAAGACAATTTCTGTATTCTTTTGACACAAATATACAATGTGATCAACAGTTTCCCAACACTTTTAACAAATGCTCCAATGTAATCTAAGTTTCAAGATGTGCAATCCAGCTACGCATTCAGATTTTACTAAATATTTATCTTAAAAATGATGCAATTATCAAAGGAAGTTACTAATCTCTGCAAGGAAACTGCCTTAGGGAGTTACTGTAGAACATTATCTTCAGCACTCTGTCATAAAGAAGAAACTGCCTCAGTGAAAGAAACAGGACAATTATTCAGCCATTCCACTTGCAGAATCCTAGAAGTCCACATTATTATCCTAAAAAAAGTATGGGAAATACAATTTTTTTAGGAATAGTATTCTCTTATTACAAAACCATTTAAGAAGTTGTTTTATGCAAGCCCTTATGTCCCAGAACATACTGAACCATTTGTAAAGGCTTATTTAAATATTTCTTTATAATATAAAATGTGTTAGTTTTTAACAAGTTTAAAAGAAATCTAATAGCATTATCTTAAAAAAAGAAAAGAAAAAAATATTTCCTCATGACAGTAAGCAGTATCTGCTACCATTTAACACCCAATGGGCAGCCATTTTGAAATCATGGGGCCACTTCAAATGCCAGCCATTAGGAAAGCTTGTTTATGCCCCTCTGAATACTTAAAAACTAAGTCTTAGTTTTAAAACAATTGGTTTTATATAGCAACTAAATATGAATAAGATTTTTGCCCATTAAAAATAATAACTTGAATATGAAGCTTATGTGGGAGATAAACAAGCATGGCTAAAATATTTGATATTTATTGTCTCTGAACAAGTGTATCAATTACCGAAACACAAATTTACTGGTGGAGGGATGGATGAGATCTAAGCAATATGAATGTACAAATACGCTGAATTAGTGTAACATTTACCAAAATGCTAAATAATAATTTAGTGTAATGAAAATCACCAACATAGGACTTCATATTTTCAAAGATTATTTTTTCCTCTTTTTGTAGTGCTTATGGTCCAGACACCTTAAGTAAAAAGAGATTTATTTTGGGGAAAATGTTTTCCTAAAGGCAAATAAATCTGATCCAATTACAAGTATTATATGCATCTTTCCTTTGATTTTAATCTACATGTCATTTGGCATAGTCAAGATAGGAGTACAAAGACAAATGCAGATAGCAACCAAGTGAAAAGTATTATTGAATCTGAATCACATTAAGTACTCTACTTTGATTTGATTTTACCTGTTATTAGGCACAATCAATACAGAGAGATGTACATAATAGAGATATTGATCTGTAGACATCCATTCAGATACACATGTATTTCTTAAACTAACGTCTCTTTAATCTGTTGGTCTCAGGACACCTTCCCACTTTTAAAAGTTATGGAGGACCCCTTTCCGCCTTTAAAAATAGAAAACCTTTGCTTGTATTGGCTTTGCTTCTTACCATACTAAAATTAAAATGGATTCATTCATAGAATAGTTATTGAATCCTGTAAAAATAACAATATTAAATCCATTATTTTCATGAAAAAAAACATGTATTTTTATGAGATTTTTTTTTAAAAAAAGAATGACACTCTTAATTTTTTACAAATATCTTCAATATCTGGCAAATAATTTTGATTTCAAGGATCTTGGGGTACTCCCAGGGGTACTAGAATCACACAATTGTCCCAAACAATTTAAAGTGGCTTTTGTAAAAAAAATTGGGGACTAGAATGCCACGTGGAAGAATAGAATAGAAAGAGCTGGAAGGGACCGTGGAGGTCTTCTAGTCCAGCCCCCTGCTCAAGCAGAACCTCAGACAGGTGATTGTTTAGTCTCTTCTTAAAAATCTCCAGTGATGGAGCGCCAACGATTTCTGGAGGCAAGCTGTTCCACTGGTTGATTGTCCTCACTGTCAGGAAGTTTCTCCTTAATTCCAGGTTGCTTCTATCTTTGATCAGTTTCCAGCCATTGTTTCTCATCCTTCCCTCTGGTGAACAATGTGACCCCCTCTTCCTTGTGGCAGCCCCTCAGATACTGGAATACTGCTATCATGTCTCCCCTATTTCATCTTTTCTTTAGACTAGCCAAACCCAAGTCCCGCAGAAAGACTACACTGATTATGTATTACCTGCTTCTGATCATAATCCTCTTTTGCAACATTACAAATTACAAGATACTACTATAAAAGAAGATGGTTTAACAAGTAAGTTGCAATATTTGGGCTATTTTCCAAATGGGAACTACTAGTTATTTCCAAATGTCCATCTTGAGAAGATAGGTTGATTTACTACAGTAAATTACCAATACCAGCTAATGTGGCAGAAGAACCAAAATATCTGCTATCAATATCCTGACCCACGCTGGTCTACTATAGCCTTCTCAGATCTTGGCATCTTCCCAATTGGTGAACTTCAACTCCAAACAGTCTCTGTTACCCTGATATTGGCTGGGAATTCTGGTAGCTGAAATCCAAGATCTGGAAGATTCCCAAATACATTTATTCCCCTCCTTTTTGCAGCACAAATTCCTTCTATAGGTATTTCTTTCTCATCAGTGATAACCAAGATTTTATCCTTTATTACTTTTAAAACCATGTGATTCTGACCCTTTTCTTCCAAAGGCCTCAAAGTAGGATATATTTATTTAATATTCCCACTCTATGCCATCATTTTGCCTTTAAAGTAACACATTAAAAAAGTTTATGCTAACAGACTGGTACGAAGCTAGTTAGTAAACCTTAAAGCTGATTTAAGATAAATTTGGTTTCTCTACACCTGATCGTTGAAAATACAATATATAGTGCAGTAAACCATAAGATTTGATTCATTTACATTTATATTCAATTAGTGCAGTGTATGAACCCAGTCTTTTATCATTTGCAAAGCAGTTTATTGTGTACTGCAGTACAATCTCTTAACCAACTATGGTTTATTCAGTAACATCATGGTAAAAGCAATTATTGTAAATACAGTACATAAACAGGCCTGATCCTTTGATCACTAGACTAATTCTTGAACAATCTATCTGTATTAGCAAAAGCATTGTGTTAAACATTAGAAATGTTATCTTTTGAGGCCTAACATTTTCTTAGCTTTTAGTCCCATATGTGCCCCCCTCTCTCTCTGTGTGTGTGTGTGTGTGTTACACAATTAGAGTTTTTTGTGATAGACAGATCAATGGGTATTGTAAGGGTTTAAAGTTACTCCTCTGCAATCCAAGATAATCCTACCAAATGTATAAGCACAACACAAATTCTGAGTGGTCTGAAATCCAAAGCTTTTAATTACTACAAAATTAGCATCCAAAGTACTCAATGTGCATTTCATTCTAATATACAATTTCACCACAGACCTTTAACAAATATTTTTTTTTCAAATGGAGTACTAGTAAACTTCAGGAAGTTTAAGAAGCATGTGTTATGTGGTTTTTAAAAAATCAATATAAAATTAAGCCCCTTAAAATCAAATCACTGCTTTCAAATTTACTATATATAAACATACATCTATTAATATCTCAACATTAAGACTGAAACATTTTAACAAGGACAGATGACAATTATATTAAAAAGGTGTATTTCTAAAGTCCAAGATATAAGTAGCCTTACTGCCTCTCTCACACACTTCTCACAAATCCTTTAGGAGCAGGAGCTAAGCTTTTTATGTAGAGGTAAAACTTCAGTCTATCAAATCAGAATAGTTGGAAGGGAACTTGGAGGTCCTCTAGTCCAACCCTCTGCTCAGGCAGGAGACCCTATACCAGGGGTCGGCAACCCGTGGTTCCGAAGCCGCATGCAGCTCTTTCATCCCTATACTGTGGCTCCCAGTCCTCCGCCACCGTGTGCAGTCTCACAAAGAAAAGAAGTGGGACTAAAAAAGTTCAATCAATCAATTGCAACTTCTCACAGAAAAAAAAAGATCTTGCGAAGTTGGAATTGATTGATTGAACTTTTTTATTCCCACTTCTTTTGTTTGTAGGACTGCCCACAAACGTCTTTTGTTTGTGGGACTGCCCACAAACGTCTTTTGTTTGTGGGACTGCACGCGGTGGCAGAGGAAATGACGGAGGACCGCAGTGGAGCTGGAAAGAAGGTGTCACGTGGGTCCGATTGGGAACGTGGGATTTTTGCCAAGCAACTTGTACCGAGCCAGGGAAATGGGCCAGGTTGGGGGGGCTGCCAATGCCACTGCCATGAGGCTTGGCAGAGGCCCCCAGAGCGGCCATGATTCCCTCCTCCCCAACCAGCCAGCCACCATCGCCTGGCCTATACTCACCTGGCCAGCCGCCCTCACGCTCTTCTCCTCGTTGTCCTCCCCACTCAAATGGCTACCAGCGGCTTGGATGGGTCTGCTCCGTCCGAGATGAAGAAAGCAAAAGTGCAGCAGCAGGATTGCTCTCAAACAATAAGAGCCGGGTGCGCTGCTCACTCTTTGTGCGCCCGACTTATTGAGAGCAATCCCGCTGCTGCGCCTTCACTTTCTTCAACTTGGATGGAGCAGAGGCACTCAAGCCACTGGTGGCCGCTTGAGTGTCGAGGACGAGCTTTGCTGCTGCTGCTGGGCCACACCTGGGCTACGCCCTGCTGCTGTCTCCCAAACTCCACTTTCACCACTGGGGGAAGCAGCGGCAAAGCGCTCCATCCTGGGGGGAAGCAGCTGCAGCGGTGGAGCGCTCCATCAGGGGGGTGGAAGCAGTGGTGGCGGGGCACTCCGTGCGGGAGGGGAGTAAGCAGCAGGGTTTTGTGGCTCCTGTTTTTTTAAATTTTCTCTGGGAAATG